TAAAATTTTTAAAAAAAAAACGTACCTGTAGATTCCTAGTACTCTTGCCGTCTCTTGGTTGTCGTCCGGCCATTTTTTCGATTTTTTTGGGATTTTTTCGAATGATTTTTGAAAAAAAAAATTCTTTCAATTTTTTTGATTTTGTGCGGTTTGTTTTGGGAAGGAGGACGAAATTTTTTTTTTTGATATGGTGGGTGGTGGGCCGACGGGTTTGGAGCTTAATTTCCAATTTTGATATTTTTTTTTTTTTAATTAAAGGGTAATTTAGTATTTTAGGGGTGCGGTACGTAGTAAAACGGGTGCGGTATTTAGGGCATGATTGTATATAATTTCAACAGTAAATATCTCACTCAAAACTCAAATTTAACTCAACTCTACTATCTCCAATATTATCAATATAATTAAATAATATCAACCAATCATTATTACACATCACATCAACTTTAATTCACTATTCATTCACTCACACAATTTTAACTAACTATCACTTGCAATCGTTTTCTCCTACTTTTACATCAAATCAACTTTAATTATTTTAATTTAAATAACATTTTAATATATCCACTAACAACTAACCATACTACTTTTTTAAAACTTAACTATAATTAAAAAAAACTAGTTTTTTACTAGTTGAATTCATATCCAATCATAGCAATTCAGTATTTTTTTTTTGCTGATAGGGAGAGACAGAGATTTGGTAAGGTTATGTCTTGATCGGCAAATTCGAGCTCAAAGTTTTATTTTTTTTTTTACTTCTTTTTTTTNCAATCAGATTTCTCAAATCACTCGCACATTTGAACCCTAGCCCCAAAATCAGATTTTTGGTCTCCGTCATATCCGGTCGTCTCCGACCCATCTCCGCCTTCTGTGTTTCTCGTCGTCTCCGTCCGCCTCCTTTCGTGTCCGGTCGTCTCCGCCTAAGTCCGTTCGTCTCCGCCCGTTTCTCGTCGTCTCCACCCGTCTCCCGTGTCCGTTCGTCTTTGCCCAAATCCCCGAATGTCCATAAAGGTACGATTCTTGTTTTCTTGTTGCATTTCATCCGGCTCGAAACAGAGAAATCACATCCCAGACATGGAGCAAAGCCTTCTGAGAATGGTTTGGTTTGGATTGAATGTTGATGGGCCTTTCGTAGAGATGGTTTCTATGATGTTTTTTTTGCTTTTATATTTTCCATTTTCTCTGACATTAAATTTTACAGGGCACTTGGGTTTTTAAATAATATCTTCTCATTCTTGCCCTAAGTCCCTCGCTGCTCAACTCTCTCTCCTCATCCCTATGCTTAGCAACGGCGCAAAATAGAATTTTGAGACATAGTTTTCGCCGGGAATCTCGAGGAGTCGTGGCGGCAGCAGGCTCATGGATGAGATCGGCAAAGTCAAAGCCTTAAAATGAGAGCAGTTCCGGCGGTCAACACGGCGGCGCTACGCGAGGCGTCCAAATCTCGCAGTTAGCAGCAACTCGCGGGTCGAGGCAGGCGGTGGCTGGGGGTTAGTATGGTCAGTTGGTTAATTTCTGAAATGCCTTCTAGGGTGCTCCGTCGGCCACGGTGAGCCTTCTCGGTGTTCCCATTAAATTTCTCGACTTGATATCGTCCTAATGCGTTTGCACGATTTCTCGGCCTCTTGCGTATGTACAATTAATTGGGCTTCACTAATTTCAAGTTTTTTTTTTAATTTTTTTTGCTGTTGTTTCGTTGTATGGTATGTGCGAGGTCGATTACTTCTATTATTGGTCGTTTTGCTTTTAAATTAAACTGGAATTTAAATAATTTTGGCTAGGGTTCTTATTTTTGTGGTGTCTGTGTTTTAGTTTGGCAGGTGACGAGGAGTATTGATTGGTGTTCTTCGCAATATGAATCTGTGGACATACAGGAAAGGTAAGTTTTCACTCCTTGTTCAATTTTTGGTGCTGGTGCCCCTTTTTTTAAATTATTTATTATCTTCTTAGTTGTTTCCTTTGTCCTGCAATCTATTCATTTGGTTTATGTGTATTGATTTTTGCATCTTAATACTTAGTGTTCATATGTTAAATAATTTTTTTCTCAAATCGAATAGCCTGATCGTTGGATGGTGTTAAATCTGTATGGTGTGCAAAGTTGTCCATTAAGTTGGGTTTTAGATTTAAATTATTTTACAGTAGCAGAAACATTATCTTCAGGTGCTTCATTGATGTCTTATCTTCAACATTTTTTTTTTTAATTTCATAATTACTTATGTAAGGGTCTTTCTAAAATATAGTTGAGTTCTTAATAAATTTTTACCCGACACTGTTTTTATGTGAGGCTGATGTTTAAATTGCCCTAACTATAATCATTTGTTTTTTTGGTTTTTTTATAGGATATTCATATATTCGGCGCCTACAATTCTTGGATAGGTTTTCATTTACTGGACATCTTAGAGTATATATAGCTATAAGGTAATGAAAGGGACCATCTTTCTTGCTTTTGTTTAAACTTTGTTGTTGCTTTGGGCATGAATGGATATAGGCCTACTAGAAGTTAGAATCTTTTGATAACATACATGCAATATATTTTTTTTATATGCATGCCTTCTTTGAAGCATTACGTGCTCTGCTTTAAATGTAAATAGATATCAGCTTTTTAAGCACCTGTTTTATTGCATAAACGGTACATACCATCCTTATGTGGTTTTATGTCCAAGACATAGTTTGTTCATTGATAGTTATATGGGTATTCCTCTTATTTACTATTTTTTGTGTGTATAAAAGTTTTATCTGTTATGGTAGAAATAAACAAGCCATTGTTTGTTTGCCTTCATTGAGTTGAGTTGGAGTGCTGTTCGTAGGAGTCAAATTATGAACTACATTTATTCATCAGCAAATTGTTGTTTACTAAGTTTTACAAGATGCTTATGTGAGTTGTGACACTTTCGGTCAAGACAATCCAAAAGATTGGAAGAGGATATACATACAATATATAATTTTTTCAACATATATGCCTTTTTTTACCCATTGCATGCTGCTTTAAATGCAAATTAATATAAGCTTCTTAAGCAACTGTTTCATGGCTTGTATGCTACATAACATCCTACATTATTTATGTGATTTTATATCCGAGACATAGTTTGTTCATTCATAAGTATATGGATATTCCTGTTAATTTTTTGTTTTTTTTTTTTGGTGTGCATAGGAGTTTGACCTGTCATTGTCATGGTATAAGTGCACAGGACATTGTTTATTTGCCCCCATTCAGTTGAGGGTTTTTCACTTGGACTCATTTTATAAACTATATTTATTTAGCAGCAGATTGTTGTTTAATATGTTTTGAAAGATGTTCATGAGTCTTATTGTGCAAATTAATATGTTATCTATGAACTTATTACTTTTCTTAATGCTATGTAAATATGTTGTCATCGAATTTACATTGTTCATTTGTCGCCATCCAAATTAAAATATGTTTATTAGTTGTTAACTGTATTTGTTCCATAACCGAATTGCAATTTAATATGTCTATAAGATGTCTATTTCTGCTTATTGTGCAAATCATTTTTTTGTATTGATTGACTACTTTTCTTAATGATCTTCAAATTTAATGTGATAGCTAGATTATACATATATGTGTGTGCATATATATATATATATTAATTAGTTCATTCTTGCTTCATTGATGTGTTTATTTTCAACACTTATTTTTAGTTTCATAATCAGTTATGTGAGGGTCTAACAAGTTAATGAAAGGGAGTGTCTTTATTGCTTTTGCTTAAACTTTGTTGTTTCTTTTGGCATGAATGGGTATAGGTCTGCTTTTTCAATTTTCAATTTTTGGGTAACACTAGACATGCAATATATATTCTTTTATATGTGTGCCTTTTCTTAAGCACTTTGTGCTGCTTTAAATGTAACTAAATATAAGTTTTTCAAGCACATATTTCATAGCATATATGCTACATGCCATCCTACACTAATTCATTGTGACTGTATACCAAAGGCATGGTTTGTTCATTGATACTGTATGGTTCTTCCTTTTATTTACTTTTTTTTTTTTGTGTGTAAAAGGTATGTTGTAATGGTAAAAATAAACAAGCCATTGTTTGTGTGCCTTCATTCAGTTAAAGTTAAAGTGTTGTTCTTAGGATACAGTTTAAGAACTCCATTTATTCATCAGAAGATTGGTACTTGATATGTTTTACAACATGTTCATCAGTCTTATTGTGCAACGTCAACTGTGGTCTACTGGCTAATTCCTTTTATTCATGATTTTTTTCAGTTTGTCGTGTTCAAATTTTTATTCGTTTGTCGCAATCCAATTTGAGTCCTGTAATGTTTATTACCTGTTAACTATGTCTATTCCATCAACAAATTGCAGTTTCATATGTTTGTAAGATATTTGTGTCTGCTTATTGTGCAAAATCAATTGTTTTCTATTAGTTAACTATTTTTCTTTACGGTCTGGGAATTTAATGTGTTTGTTTGATTACATGGACATGTATGTCTGTAACTTAATTAGCTTCTTGCTTCAGTGATATACTTGTTTTCATTTTTTTCTATCATAATTATTTATGTGGTCGTCTTTCAAAACTATAGTTTAATTCTTAATAAATAAGTAGGTGACAGTATTATTTTGTGTAACAGCTATTTAAAGCTCTTGGAATTCTGTTGGCCAGCAGGGGGAATGAAGTGTTCGTTAGTTTCTATCAGGTTAGCTTCCTTTTTGTGCACATCAACCATTAACTGTTTTCCTTCATTTAACCATTTATTCATTTGTGTTCTTCCCAATATACTATTACTCGCCTGTTGTGCATATAATAGACTATTCTTGTTTTCCGATTTTTTTTTTTTTTATNCGTGTTTATTGTATAAAATAAAATAATTCTGTTTATGATGTTTATGTATGTATGTTTGTAAAGTAGCTGATTATTGATAATTCATTAACTCTGTGTGTTTGTTTGGATTGCGACCTCAATATTTTTGCTCATCGGTAGCTTTACTTATTATATATATTAAAGTAAGTTTAGGCTAACATAAAAGTATGCAGTCACGAGTGTAAGTGAAGTGTTACAAAAAAACTTTCGGTTCTGCCTTCTCATGTTAGTTTAGCTTTGGTTATATAAAACATCACAACCTTTTCAGTTTGCTTTCTTGGCTGAAATTATTTGCTCAGGTTGTGATTTTCCAAAGGCTAGCCACCTAGCCTTTGGAAACTCAAACTCATTCCGACGGCCACAGCCTAGCCGCCTCTAGCCACCGACTCAGTTGACCGCCCCTGCGCCTCAGCCTACCACAACCTGAGATGGCCATCGTCCACTAGCCGATGAGATGCCGGCGAGACGCGACCTCCTCAACCCCGCAACACTACCTTCATTTGTCATCGGCGACGGATCCCATGAAGAATGCAGCTCGCAGGGATGCCGCTGTGATGGTCTCCAGCGGCAGCGTGCAGTCCACGAGACCGGCGCGGCGGCTCCAGTTTGGTCGAGCGTCCGACCCAATTCTCCCGATCGGCGGTGCCGGCGGCAACCAGTCAAAATCAATCGCCTTCTTCTCCCAATCGACGGTGCCTGCGACCTAATAGGTGTGACAGCCGCAGATGGGATCTGCTACTAGTGAGTGTTTTATATTTGGGGGTTGGCTTTTAAAATCTGATATAATTAAGGGATCTAATTACAATATCTTAACTTTTAATATTTTTTTAATTTAGTATACGAGGCTAATTGGTGATGTAAAAAAAATTCAGGGGTTCAATTGCAATTTAAAAAAATGTCGATTTATTACAATTATGGATAACCTTGAGCCCACCAATCCCACTTGAAACAATAACTTAATTCTGAGCCTAACACCACCAATGTGTCAGCATCCGTTTTACTAAAAGTCAAACCCGACCACAACTGCAACAGTACACAGCTTGATTTCCCAGTTTAAGCATATAATAAATAGAACAAATAGAAATACATCATAAAAAAAGCTTGTTCGAACAAATTGGACAAAAGTCTATATATAAACTACGACCATACAGAAAGAAAAGGAAAATCGATGATCTCTAAATATCACCTTATCAATTAAGCACGGTTTTTAGGATTTAACAAAAAATTAATAAATACATAATAATGTTTATTACGATGCACAATATATTGTGTGTATATGCAAATTAAAAGTTCAAATAGAATATGTAATATATAATATTGATCATCTGTCGGTTCGGTCGAACCGACCAACTGATTTGAAATTTTAAAAACAATTAACGATTAAAATTCTCAAATGTATATTACATGGGTTGAAAAATATATTACCGAATAACAATACATTAAACGTGTAATCGGTTACCGTCGGTATTTTAATAAATTCAGTTAATATACACACAATATTGTTAATCGGTTGGCGTCGTTATTTTGATTTTTTTATGTTCTTATTTAATAGTTTATATCTTTTGTTTTGCACAAATAACCGAATTTTTAAAAGTAAAAATAGATAATCGATACGAAATATAAAAATTCAAACAATAATATTTAGTTTGGTAGTGGTTGTTCTGACCGCCAGTCATTAATGTGCAATTTGTCTAACCATAATGTGCATAATTGTGATCGCTAGTGTGCATTCTGAATAGGTCGAACATTTGTCTAAAACCAAATTAAAATTGAACCAAGTTAATTGGTGTATTCGGTTGTTTAACGTAATTAACCAAATTAGTTGAAATATAATATTATAAAAATATACTTAGTATTAACATATTAAAAAGCATATTAAATTTGTATGCGGATAGTGCCAATATTCTGAAATACTGTCAACGTATACACAATATTTTTAAACAATTTTTGTCGATATTTTATTATTTCTATATGTTAGTTTATTATATTTTATTTTTGTGGGTAGAAATAACTAATGTTATAAAAGCAAAACAAACAATCGAACTGAAATTTGAAAAATTGAACAAAAAAATTTAGTTTGGTCGATGTCGTGCGTTATGACAATCATTAATATGCAATTCGTCCAACTATATTGTGCACGGTTTCGGTCGCTATTGTGCATTCAGAATCGGTTGAACTTTTTGTCTCGGACTAAATTAAAACCGAATCGAATTAATTGGTTTAATCGGTGGTTAACCAAATTAATTAAAATAAATTAGAAGAAATATTATTTTATCTTGTAGAAATATATTTTGGCACTACCGTTTGAAATTATATATTAAACGTGGATTCGATTGGCGTCGATAGTTTGAACAAATTGGTTAATATATACACAATGTTGTTAATCAGTAGGTGTCGATCTTTTTTTGTATTTTTATATGTTTATTTAATACTTTATATGTTTATTTTCTTTAAAAAATAAATAATTTTATAAAAGTAAAAAAATAGTCGAACTAAAATATAATTATTTGAACTGATTTATTTAGTCTATTCGCTATTGTGCAGTACCTAGGTCGATAATGTACTATTCGTATAACCATATTGTGCAAAGATTTGGTCACTGTCGTGCAGTTTAACTTAGTAGAACTTTTATCTCAACCCAAACTAAAATTGTACCGAAAAAAATGATTTATTTGGTTGATCAACTGACTTAATCAAAATAACTAAAATAAAATTTATCATATTATAAAAATATATTTAGTGTTTTTTATTTATATTTTATATTTTGTTTTTGTTGAACTAAATAATATTTTTTTATATTAAAATATAAATCTAATATTGAAGTCGAATAATTTAATTGAAAGTAGTAACAGATAATCGAGACAAAATATTATAATTTCAAACAAATTTTTTTGGTTTCTGCACTGTATTTTTGTACAATTCCAAAGATGAATGTGCAATTCAACTGATATTAATATTAATATTAATGTATAATTTTTAAATGTTTGATAAATTATAAAAGTTACTCATGAACTTAATTGAAATTTACTAAAAATATCCAAATTGCAAATAGGCCCTTGTGATTTTTTAAATTTAAAATTTCCCACGAAACTTTATTATAACAAAAGTAAGAAACCATTGTACACACAAAATAAAAAA